TGCTTTTTTTTTCCTGTGTTAAAGGTAAGCTTTCACATGGAGTGGTTCTCTCTTCATTGTCTGTTCCTGCCATCCTGAGTTTGTGAATGTTTCTGCTTTAGGTGAGGTCTGTCAAGCAATGGAGATAGATTGGCCCTCTCTCGGGCTTGTAATGAACTGGTTTCCAGTATTTGGTTTCATGGATTATGGACAAGCAGATCCCCATTAACCCCACTGAAGAAGTCTGAGAGAAACCATTGGATACTGATCTATGTATGACAGTGGGGGAGACTGAGGCATAGGAGGAAGGAGAGAATTTCACATGCGTCAGAGTTACAGAACTAGAAGGAAAGCCATGGCACCCAGGTTGCCTGGTCATGCTTTAACCACAGCCCACACTTGCCTATTTAGTTACAACAAACACAAAAGAGATAAACATAGATGTAAGTTAGTCTAAACACCAAATTTTAGAAGTTTTTCCTCTGATGTTTAGTCAGCCATCTTGACCTTTATTGAAGGGTAAACCAACTCACAACAGCTGTGGACAATTATTTACTGTAAGTCAGAGACTAAAGAGTTTGGATAATGAAGTGAATTCTGCATTAGAAGGAGAGCAAAGTGCTTGGTAAGAGAAAATTACCTTTTAAGTAGATTCTTGAATTCCAAAGATTGAGGTGCCAAGTTCACAACAGAAGAGGTGTTAGAAAATCCCAGGATATATAGAGCATTAGGCTTTGCTCATATATGTGATGTGTTACACAAATGCACAGGCACACCTGGACCTTCCTCAGCCTGGAATGGCCCAGGAAGATGCTCTGTGCAGATGCTACTAAGATGACATGTTCCTTGCCATCCATAATAGTGATGTGCAGCTGGCTGTGGAGTTACTCAACCATCTTGGCTACTCAGTAAGAAACAGATTTGGATTCCCTCACTCAGGCTGTCAGATTTTACAGCCACCTGTAGTCTCTTTGGCAGTGTGGCCTCTCAGCAAGGAACTGCTGAAGGGGTGCTCAGAAACCTTTGGCAGTCAAGAGAGGAACAAAGCTTTGCATAATTCAGGGGTGAGTTCAAAGCCAATAATATTTACAACCCAACACAAGAAAGCACTTTAAAGCCAGTGAGGTAGGTGCCTCTAAGCCAATAAGGTGTTATTACCTTTAAGCACATCCCTTTTGCCTTTTGATAATAAGCACTGTATTAAAGTATTTGAAAATTCCATAACAATTTAAAACAAAATATGTCATCTGTGCACTTCGAACTTCCAAGAGGAAAAGGAGCCTTGCTTGAAGTTGATGTACTTCATTAACAGGCTGAAAATTCTCTCTCTCTCTCTCTCTCTCTCTCTCTCTCACACACACACTCACTCACTCACTCACTCACTCACTCACTTCCTCATTCTCACTCATGTGTGCTGTAAAATAATGTAGTCTGGCCACCCTGAGTGTGGCAAGAGGAGCAATGAGGCTAATGAATTTCTTCTCCAGGGCCTCCTGCCTAGAGGCCAGCCTACAATACAGGGGAAATTTTGCTATAAACACTCCCATCCTTTAAATGGGGTTCAATCCCAGGATGCCTTTCAAAGCAACCCTTAGCCTAAAGAAAAAGAAGCTGAGGACTCTGTGTTCTAGAATTTTAATTAAACAGACCACAAAACCCACTTGCTCCCAAATTGAATTCTAAGTTTGATTTTGAGAACAATTGCAGTCTTTAAATTACAAATGACAAGAAGCAGAGAATGTCATCATTATCCTGGGCAAAGTAATTGAACATAATAGCATAGAGACAGTATTAGGGTTAAAAAAAAAAAAAAAAAAGCCTAAGAGCAGAGTCTAATCCTGGCTCTGCTATGTGCTGTGTGACCTTGAGTCCATTACTTAATTTAGGTGGTTAACGAATCCTCATAACTTGGAATCATGACCTAGAACTAGAATTACCCTTGGAGACCATTTTGTTCAACCATTATCCCAGTGGTGTTATCCATAATGGTTTAATAAGAAGACTCCAGAATTCCCAATTCTCAGCTCTTCATCATTTCCATCAGAGATGACCACAAAAGGAGGTCTACTGAAGGAGGTCTTTTGCCAAATATATTGGCCTAAATTTAAAAATATCTGAGAGTCGCTGATATTTTGAGGGTGAACAGCAAAGCTTAACGTTATGGAGCTTAGGAGGCTAATTAACAGCTAAGAAACTGCTTCTTAGCACTCTTCTTCCTTCTAGGATTCAGTCCCCTTGTTTCTGGATTGAGTAGTATAATGCTACTACTCAATCCAGAAACAAGGGGACTGAATCCTAGAAGGAAGAAGAGTTTTAAGTGCACAGTATAAAGCATGATGTTTACCATGGAATACAAGGTCCTTTTCCAATTGTCCTACCCTATTCGTACAGTCTCAACTCTCACCCCAGGTACTCTTTGACTGACCACAATGACTATCTCCTTTCACTTAACTTGCATTCATGACTCCAGGCTATCCATGGTATTCCCTCTACTTGCAATGTTCTTTATCCTTTTCTACCTGGAAAATCTTAATTCATTATTCAAGATCAAGACCAACGTTAACTTTTCTGTAAAGTTTTACCAGACATTATTGCTAATTCTAATAATAGAAAAGTTGAGTATCTACTAAGTATTGAATACTGTGCTGAATGTTTGTCATGATTATCTCATTTCATTCACAAATCCTCACTACAAATCTGTGAAGTAGATACTGCTATGATTCCTGTTTTAAGACAAGGAAAACAAGTCTTATCAGAGTAAATTAGCTTGTCCAAGGTCATAGAGCTAATTAGTGGTAGAGCCAGATTCAAGTCCAGATCTGTCTGACTCTATAAGTAAGTTCTTCCCCTTCTGTCCATATTGACTCTTCCAATTAAATTTACTCATGCTTTGGTTACATCATTTTCCAGCTTAACTTTACATC